CTTTTGAAATTCATATTTAAATTTCGCTTCCCGCGGATTGAGGTAGACCACTACCGCCACGGAGATCAAAAAAAGTAAGATGGTGCTAACCTGCGTTTGCCGGTTTTGTATGTAAAGAAAAAATCGTTTCATAAAGCCTGCTTAGCCGAGGGGCAAAATAAAGGCATTGGCCTAATTTTTATTTAATTTCGCCCACTCCGCTAATTAAAAGATAATCTTTCAAAACAATAATAAAATGAAGGAAGTAGTAATTGTTTCGGCCGCAAGAACTCCCATTGGCGCATTTATGGGCTCATTGTCAAGTCTTTCGGCAACACAATTAGGGGCTTTGGCCATAAAAGGCGCCCTGGATAAAATTCAGCTAAACCCCAAAGAAGTACAGGAAGTATTGATGGGCAACGTATTACAGGCCAATGTTGGTCAGGCGCCCGCCCGACAGGCGGCACTGGGTGCAGGCCTGAGCGATGAAATACCCTGCACTACGATAAACAAGGTATGCTCAAGCGGAATGAAGGCCATAATGCAGGCGGCACAAGCCATTAAGTGTGGCGATGCTGAAGTTGTAGTGGCTGGCGGCATGGAAAGCATGAGCAATGTTCCCCATTACCTGCAAGGCAGAAAAGGCTCAAAACTAGGCGACATAAAAATGACCGATGGCATGCTTCGCGATGGCCTATTAAACGTTTATGATGGCGTACACATGGGCAATTGTGCTGAATTGTGCGCCAGCGATATGAAATTTAGCCGCGAGGAACAGGACGAGTTTGCCATTGAGAGCTACCGCAGATCGGCAAAAGCCTGGGAAGACGGAAAATTTCAAAATGAGGTAATTCCGGTTGATGTGCCGCAAAGAAAAGGCGACCCCATCCGCGTAGAGCGCGATGAAGATGTCTTTAATGTAAAATTTGAAAAAATACCGCAGTTGAGGCCGGCTTTTGATAAAAACGGAACGGTAACGGCTGCCAATGCCAGCAGCATTAATGATGGAGCAGCCGCCATGATTTTGATGAGCGCTGAAAAAGCCGAGGCCCTGGGCCTAAAGCCCCTGGCAAAAATAGTATCTTATGCCGATGCTGCGCACCAGCCCGAATGGTTTACCACCGCACCAGCCAAAGCGGTTCCCAAAGCGTTGGACAAAGCTGGCATAAGCAAAGAGCAAATAGATGCCTTTGAGTTGAACGAAGCATTTTCAGTAGTTGGCCTGGCCAATATCAAAATTCTTGGCATTGATGCCGCAAAAACCAATATCAACGGAGGGGCCGTGTCTATTGGCCACCCCTTGGGCTGCTCGGGCGCAAGAATTATACTAAGCCTCTTAACCGTTTTACAACAAAATGGCGGCAAGTATGGCGCAGCTGGAATTTGCAACGGTGGCGGTGGTGCATCGGCAATGGTAATTGAAGCGATGGCCTAATGCAAAAAGGGATTTGTGCCCTGAGTGTAGTACCGTTGAGGGCCGAAGCCTCCGACAGCAGCGAAATGGTAAACCAAATTTTGTTTGGTGAAACCTATAAGGTGGTGGAAGAGCGCAAAAAATGGCTTAAGGTTAGGTTAGATCACGACAAATATGAGGGCTGGCTAGACAGAAAGCAGCACCGTGTTTTGAGTGAAAAAATGGTGGAAAAACTAGCGAAGAGAGAACCCGCCATTGCCTCCGATTTAATAGAAATGGTAAGCTTGAAAGACGGGGGAGCATACTTCCCCGTCTTTTTAGGCGCTCACCTCCCCCTGTATAGCCCAAAGAATAAAAGTTTGGTTATTGCCGATGAAGTGTTCACCTACACCGGGCCCGTGGCCAAGAAAAAGTACAGCCGCAAAGAGCTTATTGAGGTAGCCTTTCAGTACATGAATGCGCCCTATTTGTGGGGCGGTCGTTCGCCTTTTGGCATCGATTGCTCGGGATTTACCCAAATGGTGTACCGTTTGTGTGGGCACGCATTGCCCCGCGATGCCAAAGACCAAGCGCAATTGGGTTACGCCCTTAGCTTTATTGAAGAATCAGAGCCGGGCGATTTGGCCTTTTTTGACAACCAAGAAGGCCTCATTACGCACGTGGGAATTATTTTGGAAAACAACTACATCATCCACGCAAGTGGCAAGGTACGCCTTGACCGCCTGGACCAAACCGGCATTTTTAATCCGCAGGAGCGACAACACACACATAAACTCCGGGTAATTAAGAAAGTGATTTAAACAAGTTCTAGCTTAGACTCATTATTAATAATTGAGGCAGTCTATTGAGGGGCTTTCATTAGCCATTAGATTCCTACTTTTGCAAATCAGAAAACCAACGCGTATGATTTTTGACTTAGATATGATCAAGGAGGTTTATGCCAAATTTCCCGAGCGCATTGAAGCAGCACGGAAAATTACCGGCAAGCCCCTAACCCTTTCAGAAAAAATTCTTTATGCCCACTTGTGGGATGGCAAAACCGATAAAGCCTATGACCGGGGCAAGAGTTATGTAAATTTCTCACCCGATCGTGTGGCCATGCAGGACGCCACCGCTCAAATGGCATTGTTGCAGTTTATGCAAAGTGGCCGGAATAAAGCAGCGGTTCCATCTACCGTTCACTGCGACCACCTCATTCAGGCAGAAGTAGGAGCCGAAAAGGATTTGGCTCGCGCCAAGAATAAAAGTTCAGAGGTTTTTGACTTTTTACAATCGGTTTCAAATAAATATGGCATTGGATTCTGGGAACCCGGAGCGGGTATTATTCACCAGGTAGTACTTGAAAATTACGCCTTTCCTGGCGGAATGATGATAGGTACCGATTCGCACACCGTAAACGCGGGCGGCCTGGGAATGGTTGCTATTGGCGTAGGTGGTGCCGATGCAGTAGACGTAATGGCGGGCATGCCCTGGGAACTGAAATTTCCCAAACTTATTGGTGTTAAACTAACCGGTAAGCTTTCTGGCTGGACTGCCTCAAAAGACATTATTCTTAAAGTAGCGGGCATTCTTTCGGTAAAAGGCGGCACCGGAAGTATTGTTGAATACTTCGGCCCGGGAGCCGAGAGCTTAAGTTGCACGGGGAAAGGCACCATTTGCAACATGGGCGCAGAAATTGGAGCAACCACCTCAACTTTTGGGTACGACCAGAAAATGGCCGAGTATCTAAAAGGCACCGGACGTGCTGAAGTTGCGGCTGCAGCCGATGAAATTGCCGAACACCTGACGGGCGATGCCGAGGTTTACGAAAATCCCGAACAATACTTTGATCAGGTTATTGAAATTAACCTCAGCGAATTGGAGCCGCACATCAACGGCCCATACACGCCAGACCGCGCTACTCCCATTAGCAAATTTGCCGAAGAGGTGAAGAAAAACGGCTGGCCACAGGAGCTGGAAGTAGGCCTGATTGGCTCATGCACCAACTCTTCTTACGAAGATTTAACCCGTGCCGGTTCGGTTGCGCAACAGGCCATAGATAAAAACCTAAAGGTTAAAAGTGAGTTTACCGTAACCCCTGGTAGTGAACAGGTTAGATACACCGCTGCGCGCGATGGTTTGTTAGACAAGTTCACGGCCATGGGTGGAGTTGTTTTGGCAAATGCCTGTGGCCCGTGTATTGGCCAGTGGGCGCGTCATACCAACGATCCCGACAAAAAGAACTCCATCATTACATCCTTTAACCGGAATTTCGCCAAGCGGAACGATGGCAACCCAAATACGCACAGTTTTGTGGCCAGCCCTGAGTTGGTTACCGCTATGGCCATTGCCGGTGATTTGGCTTTTAACCCACTAACCGACACCTTGAAAAATGAAAAAGGCGAGGACGTGAAGCTAGATGAACCCATGGGCATTGAAATGCCTCCCCAGGGTTACGCGGTTGAGAATAATGGCTACCACCAGCCGGCCAAAGACGGCAGTGACGTAGAAGTAAAAGTTGCCGAAGGTTCGGAGCGCCTGCAAATTCTTGATCCATTTGACGGCTGGAACGGTGAAAACTTCAAAGACATGAAGCTAATCATCAAAGCTAAGGGCAAATGCACCACCGACCACATTTCAATGGCTGGGCCTTGGTTGCGTTTCCGCGGACACTTAGACAACATTAGCAACAACACCCTCACCGGTGCTGTAAACGCCTTTAACGACAAAACGGATAGTGTAAAAAACCAGCTCACCGGTGAATACGGTTCCGTGCCTGACGTACAACGCGAATACAAGAAAAATGGCATTCAAACCATAGTTGTAGGCGATCACAATTACGGAGAGGGTTCGTCTCGTGAGCACGCGGCCATGCAACCGCGCCACCTGGGCATGCGCATTGTTTTGGTGAAGTCATTTGCGCGTATCCACGAAACCAATCTCAAAAAGCAAGGCATGCTTGGGCTAACCTTTGCCAATGAGAACGACTACGATTTGATTCAAGAAGATGATACTTTTGAAACAGTGGATCTGGATCAGTTTGCCGAGGGCAAACCCATTCACTTAAAAGTAACACATGCCGATGGCAGCACCGATACTATTGCGTGCAACCACACGTACAATGCCAACCAAATTGATTGGTTCCGTGCGGGCAGCGCCTTGAATAAAATAAAAGAAGAGAACAAGAAAGCTTAATTCTCTTTTTTCAATAGATTCACAAGCCCCGCTTGCCAAACAAGCGGGGCTTTTTTTTTTTTACACGCTCACCTTTCCTTCGCCTAACTTTAATCGTTATGCTGTAAATTGCCTTACGTTATGAAAAAGATTTTTTCTCTTACCGCCTTGCTTCTTAGCAGCGCTGCTTTTTGCCAAAATGTTAGCCCCAGTGCGCTATCCTACCTCAACCTGCTCTTCCCAAACATAGTATCGCACAATCAGATGGCCGAGATTAACATTAACCAAACCATACTGGATACGGCCAGTTTGCTGCACTTTAACACCGATGCCAACGGGCATTACACCAGTGGCTACGAAATTGACTACAGCTTTAATGATACTGTTTTCTGGCTTTGCAGCGCCACGGGCAATTTTAACCAGGTGGCCATTCTCAATCCGAACGCAACCAATGATACCCTTTTGCTAGAAGACATTTACAAAAATCCTCAGGGCCAAGACACCTTAATTGTGACCCATGCCGATACGGGCGGAACGGGCATTACCAAATATCAGGATTTAACCGTCACCTACGGAAGCAACGGCTTTACAGAGCTTATTATGTACTTGTACAACAATGGCACGCGCGAAGAATTCTTGAAATTCACCCCTACGTATGATGGCAATGGCCAGCTACAGGAGGTGGCCATAAGCGTGAGCTTTGGAGGCATTAACCTCCCCGTGCAATCTTTCCGGTACGATTACCAGGGACTGGCCCTGCAAAACGTGTACGTAATTGAAAGCATGAATAATGACACGGTAGAAATTATTAAGCCCATTTTAAACCCGGCCTATGAAATTAACCGGCTCAACTTTATGCAACAAGATTCTGCGGATGAATGGGTGGTTTACAATATTATGGACTTTAGCAACCAAAGCACTGCGGTGGGATTAGACCCAAGTCCAATGCCCGCCATTAGCTTTTTTCCCAACCCCGTGCGCGATGTGCTTCAGGTGCGTTCATTGCATAACACGCAAATTTTTGTTTACTCCATGAAGGGAGAGTTGGTGTATAGTGGCAAAGCCACCCCCACATCACACATAAACCTCACCGCCCTGGCACCCGGTGTTTATATACTAAGAACCCAAGGGGACAGGGGCATGCAAAGCTTTAAGTTTATTAAAGAATAGCGGTTATATATAGCCCAGGTATTCGAGTTGCTCTCTCAGGTCTTCTGTGTAGGCCAGTGCGCTGGGCGGAATTCCCGCTTTTTCCCGATTGATGGATTTTTGCTGATAATCTTCCAGCAGGGCCTTGTTGGCCGTGCCCTGCAACATGGTTTCATCAAACTTCAGCTCCAGGTACTGGCACAAGGCGCGCAGCTGTTCTTCGGGGCGCAGGAGCAATTCTTCAAAGCGAATGATATAAAAATTAGGCGCCTTGGCCTTAAAAAGCTTTAGCCACTCCACCGAATTCTTATAGCGTTTCACCGCCTCGTGATACTCCATATTGGTGCGCATCATTTTTGAATGAACGGTGCTTCGGCCGTCCCGTACAATAAAAATTACTTTGCGCTTGCCAATAATGTCTTTTAAAACCGCCTTGTTTACTTCTTCGCGCGAAGCCGTTTCCATCAGGGCCTCCAATTGTTCCGTAGTAATTTTGTTTCCCCAACGCGCATTGGCGTGAGCGGCTTTTTGCCGGCAAGCTTTTAAGAAGCCCTCTACTCTGCTTTCAAGCGTGTCCTCATCGGCCGAAAGGCTTTTGCCCAATAAAAAATCAAAGGCAAATTCTTCTAAGCCAATACTTAGCTTCGGGTGGGCCCCAAGCAAACTGGCCACCAGGCTGGTGCCGCCACGGCCCGGGCCAATAACCAATATTCTGAATTTGTTTCTGAGCTTTGCCAGCATGGGCGCTAAGTAATGGAATTAAGCCGAAAAGCCACACGGAATGCCGCTTTCATTTGCATAAAATGAGCTTATCTTTGCCGCAAATATTTCACCAAGATGAGCGATGCAACCCTACAACCCGTAACCGTGGAAACGGCAAAAGAATTAGGCCTTCTTCCGGAAGAATATCAAAAGATCAAGGAAATTCTGGGTCGTGATCCCAACTTTAACGAGTTGAGTATTTACTCGGTAATGTGGAGTGAGCACTGCTCGTACAAAAACAGTATAGTATGGCTTAAAACCCTGCCCAAAGACGGGCCCCACATGTTGGTGAAAGCGGGGGAAGAAAATGCCGGGTTGGTAGATATTGGTGACGGCCTGGCCTGTGCCTTTAAAATAGAATCACACAATCACCCATCGGCCCTTGAGCCCTACCAGGGAGCAGCCACGGGCGTTGGCGGAATTAACCGCGATATCTTCACCATGGGTGCGCGCCCGGTAGCCCAGTTAAATTCCTTGCGTTTTGGCGAGTTAAAAACCGAGCGAACCAAATGGTTGCTTAAGGGTGTAACCAAAGGTATTGGCGATTACGGCAACTCTTTTGGTGTGCCCACCGTGGGCGGAGAAGTGTATTTTGATAAGTGCTACGAGCAAAACCCCTTGGTTAATGCTTTTTCTGCGGGAATTTTAAACACCAAAACCGATAAGATGATAAGCGCCAAGGCAGCCGGCCCGGGAAATCCGGTATTTATCATCGGATCATTTACCGGCAAAGACGGCATTGCCGGTGCGGCTTTTGCTTCAAAGGATTTAACCGATGCCTCGGTTGACGACATTCCATCGGTGCAGGTGGGAGATCCCTTCCAGGAAAAACTTCTCCTGGAGGCAACGCTCGAACTGGCCAAAACCGGTGCGGTAGTTGGCATGCAAGACATGGGTGCCGCGGGCATTACCTGCTCAACATCTGAAATGAGTGCAGCCGGTGGCGTGGGGATGAAAATTCACCTGGATAAAGTACCTACCCGTCAGGCGGATATGCAACCCTGGGAAATTTTACTTTCAGAAAGCCAGGAACGCATGTTGGCCGTTGTTGAAAAAGGGCGTGAAGCAGAGGTTAAAGCCATTTTTGATAAGTGGGACCTGCCCTGCGAAGAGATTGGCGAGGTGGTAGCCGAAGATGAATTGACGTATTACTGGCAGGGGGAAGTGATTGCCCAAACTCCGGCCGAGCCCCTGGTTTTGGGTGGAGGCGCGCCCGTTTACTACCGCGAACACCGAGAGCCCGCATACTTCAAAGAGTATCAAAAGTTTGACATCAACAGCATAACCGTACCCGACAATTTACAGGAGGTGGCTAAGAAACTTATAGCGCATCCCAATATTGCCTCTAAACGGTATATCTACAATCAGTATGACAGCATGGTGGGCACGGTAAACATGAGCACCAATAAGCCTACGGACGCGGCCATCGTTAACCTGAAAGACACCAACAAGGCGCTGGCCATGACGGTAGATTGCAACAGCCGCTATATAAATGCCGACCCCGAAACCGGAACCATGATTGCCGTGGCTGAAGCTGCGCGCAATATTGTTGTTTCCGGAGGGCAGCCATCGGCTATTACCAATTGCCTGAACTTTGGCAACCCTTACAACCCGGAAGTTTATTGGCAATTTGTGCACGCCATAAAAGGCATGGGCAAGGCTTGTGAAAAATTTCAAACGCCAGTTACGGGCGGCAATGTGAGCTTTTACAACCAAACAGTGGGCAAGGAAAAAACCGAGCCGGTGTTCCCCACCCCTACCATTGGTATGATAGGAATTGTTGAAGACAAAAAGCACATCACCTCCCTTGCTTTTCAGCAGAAAGGCGATTTGATTTTCCTTATCGGTGAAAACCGCAACGACATTTCTTCTTCTCAGTATTTGGTGAACATTCACGGTGTGGAAGCTTCCCCGGCTCCATTCTTCAGCTTAGAAGAAGAATACGCCCAGCAGGAACAAGTAAAAATGCTCATCCGCAAGGGTATGATTCAATCGGCCCACGATGTTTCAGAAGGAGGCCTGTTTGTAGCCCTTATGGAAAAAGCTATGGCCAGCGATTTAGGCTTTGACATCACAAGCGACTCCGCCATCCGCAGAGATGCGTATTTATTTGGTGAAAACCAAAGCCGCATTGTGGTTAGTGTGAGCAGCGAACAGGAACCCGATTTTATAGACTTAATGATGCTTAACGGTGTTGAATTTGATTTACTGGGCCACGTAACCAAAGGCTCCATAAGAATTGACGACACGGATTGGGGGCATGTTTCTGAATATCAAGACATTTACAATACCGCCATCGAAAAAGAGATTAATCGTTAGGCATTTATCGATCAATTATTACCGGTCAACCGCCAATAGATTCAACTAATGACGGCCGGTTGTATTTTTGCCGAAAACTTAGCAACTTAGAGCTAACTTTTTATTTGCCTTAAGTACGTTTGTATGAGTACGATTTTTGAAAACCCACAGATTAAAGAACAACGCAAACTGGCGGTGGCCGGTCAGCGCTTGTACGAGATCATCCTCTTTAATGACGATGTAAACACCTTTGATTGGGTAATTGAAAGTTTAATGGAGATTTGCGAGCACAGCCCCGAGCAGGCTGAGCAGTGCAGCCTTATTGTTCACTACAAGGGACAATGCGCGGTAAAAACCGGAACGTATGACGAATTAGAGCCCCAATGCACCGCCCTTTTGGAAAGGGGATTAAGTGCCGAAATTTCTTAGGTGGTTTAAAATTTACTTTTATATTTGCAGCCCCGTTCAAAAAACGGGCAACATTTACCGGCCTCGTGGCGCAACTGAATAGCGCATCTGNNGCAGGTTTGAATCCTGCCGAGGTCACCACTAGATTATCTAAATCCCTTGATAGACAACGTTTTATCAAGGGATTTTTCTTTTCCACTGAAACTATACCGAAACATTTTCGTCATCTAGGCTCACTACAATTCAGTATCTTTCATCGTCAGATGAGCATCATTCAAATTAGTCATTGGCATCAGAAAAGAAGGTTTGTCTTTATCGAACGTATGGTAGCTGAAGAGTGGCCGGACACCTCTGCATGCTATATAATCGACTACAGTGAAAACTTCGTGCTCCTTCAAAACATC